TCACTGGCTTTTCAAAGTGTAGGTGTAATAGGAATGAAAGGTCACTGGGTATGGGATTAACGTAACTATTTTTAATTCAAACACTTGCTCATTTTTGTGACAGCATCTCATTTCTATGACTCAGGTTTTTTGCTTTCTTTTTTTTTTTTGATGACGAATTCTGCTTGAATTTATTTGTGAAATGTCACAAAATCCAACGCATTTTAATTATGTTACATTGTATCCAAGACTACCGATTACATGATGAGTGATCAAGCGTTAAATCAGCTGAAGTGTAGAAAAGCTGTAGAATGAGAGACTGCTATCGTGCAAGCAAATCAGAACTGGAATGTCAGACTGGTAGTGGTTTATGCTTAAAAGAAAATACATTAAATTTTTCTAAAATGACTGCAATTTTTTTTAATGTGCCTTAGGTGAAAGTTTACAGAGCAAATTAGTTTCTCATTGAACAATTAATACACAAATTGTTTTGTGACATTGGCTGCCAACCCCACGATGTGTCAACATTCAGCCCTTTTCCACCCCAGTTTCCCTGTTTCCATGCATCCATTCATCCAGTTTTTCCGGTCCCTTCCTGCCTTCTCATCTTTGCTTTGGGCTGGTGTGCCCATTTAGTCTTGTATACATGACTGAACTACAAAGCGTGTTCCTCACATGTTTTATTGTTGGCCATTTAGACCTGCCTAATGTTTGGCTGAAAGGTGAACCTCAGGAGTGACCCCAGTACTGAGTTAAAAGGGCGTCTGGGGGCCATATTCTCGGGGTTTCTCCATGTTCTGTTACACCAGCAAGTCTGGTCTTTTATTTTTTGTGAGTTTGAATTTTGTTCTACATGTTTCCCCCTGCTCTGTCCGGGACCCTCTATTGTGATCCTTGTCAGAGCAGTCAGTAGTGGTAGCCAGGCATCATCTAGGTGTTCTGGGCACAGCCTGGTGGAGGCTGTGGTTTATGCAGTCCATTAGTCCTTTGCACTAATCTGTCTCTTGTGTCTTTGGTCTTCTTCATTCTCCTTTGCTCCAGCAGGGATGGGACCAGTAGGTGTATCTTATATGGCCACTCGCAGGTTTTTAAGACCACAGATGCTACTCACCACAGTTGGATGTAGAACATTTTCTTTATAAACTATGTTATGCCAACTGAGCTAGATGTCTTCGGGGACCATGGTCCCAGCCCTCAGCCCAGTAACTCGGTCCCTTAGGGAGTTTGGAAGTATCTGTGAAGCTTCTATGACTTTGCCTTGGTTGAGTTGTGCCGACTTCCCAGTATTGTGTACTAACTTACCCTTCACCAAAGTTACCACTTATCTATTGTCTATTTAGCGTTTTTCCTTCTCACCCCTCCCCTCCCTCATCACCATCAAACATTGTTTCTTTCTGTGTGTAAAACATTTTCATGAGTTTTTATAATAGTGGTCTCATACAGTATTTGTCCTCTTGTGATTGACTTATTTCACT